TTCAAGAAGTAAATTCTAAAAAAAAAAAAAAGTGCCATGTGTTTGTATTCACCTCCTTTTACTGCTACGCTAAATACAACCATCAGAGGACACAGAAAACACCACATTACACTGTAAACGTCATCCACTTGGAGAAATATGGTGGCAACATCACGTTATGCTGGTGTTTTTTCAGCACGGGAGACGAAAGACGGTCAAAGAATCACCTTACTAGTACTAAAATGCTAATTTACGACTCAAACAGAGATACGCTATTTAAATTTTTAGTACAGATTCAGCTAAAGAAAGAGGATCAGACTGTCTTTGTGGCAGGCTGCTGGTAGAGAAGTGCCTAATGAGCCAGGATCTTTGTAAAACTGCCTGTTATGTGAAGACACAACATTGAGATTAGGAGACGTTTCTCCCTGAATGATTCTTGTGGATAATTAAGGTAGCAAAAAAAAAAAAACACACACACACAAAAAAAACGGTTTATAAAATTAGCGCAAAAGCTGCCAACGTCCAACAATAACTTTTGACATGTCATAGAAAGTATGTCCGGCAGCTTGAAAGCAAATGGCAAAGAAATGGAGAGAGAATTAAGACTTTTGCACAGTACCACAGCTCTGGGTCTGCTTTGGTGGAATTCCCCCTTTTGTGAAACTGGAGCCCCAAAAGGCATCGGGGGAGCATGAGGGTTAGGCTAGATGAAGGGGGCGTCTGAGACCAGCAGAAGCCCACTTCTCTTTTCTGGCGGAGTCAGCATCACAGGTGTTAGCGAGCAACAATGCATGTGTGTGTTTGAGAGCAAGTGGGCCGTGTCCAATCAATGACACCCCACATTGTGATCGTCTATGGGGGGGGGCTGGTCCTCGAAGGTAAACACAACCAGGAATAAATTGTTGGTAACCACGGAAGAGGAGTCGGAGGCGACATCTGAAACATAGCATCTCCTTATCCTTACTGGGGGGCTTTGCTCAATATTTTTTTGTTTCCACAGTAACTATGTGCAAAAAAACAAAAATGAGGTAAAGAAATTTTGGCAGCAATTCCTCCCTGTGACTGTTGCTAGGTAAAATACTTTTTTCTGCTTGTTCATGTTCACACTGGACTCCCCCATTTTCACTCCCACGTAGCCTCCAGAGACGGGGGGTGGGGGGGGGAAGTAGATTAAATCTTTTTTTGGTTCATAACTTCACCACAGTTAATCAACAGGCCTTGCAGGGTGCTGCATTTTTGGGATATTTCCCATGAATTATGACCAAGCTATCAGTCCGCCAGCTGTACCGTGGAATTTTAGTATTCAGAGATGCTATTATTCTTATATGAATACATCTCTCTCCAGTTGTCACAATGATTTTACTTCTGTATGTGTGGATGCTCAGAACAAAGGGGCATCATGTAAAGCAGCCCCGGCGCCCCTTCCCCTCCTCAGACCAACTCAGTGTGGCGAAATGGTCTAAATCAACAACCTCATGCAAATGCATCTGGTACCACACAGGCTTCCAGACAGGTGGGCAGCTCTCTAACCAGTCCACTTGTACCTCCAAGTGCCCTCATTTGCCCTGTTGAACAACGAAGGTGCTGCAAAAAAAGGGAAGGTGTTTAAATAGGAAGGTGTAGAAAGGGGTGAGGATGGGAGGTAGAGTAGACGTCGTTGCGCTCTCTTCTTCATGTTACACGTCCTGCCAGTGTAACATGACAACGACACGTTACTGTCCTGTCACTTAAGACAGTAACGTGTTCTGAATAACATCACCAGCTGCTGGCCAGTATTGATAATCAACCTCATTTGGTTTTCCCACTCTTCTTTTAGTCACAAAGTCGAGCAGAGACGTATGATTTTATTGTTAAAGGTGTTCTGTTTCTTGGTTGGTTCAATCATATTTTTATTGTCTAAAACATAAGTGTGTTTTCTTTTTTTCAATTTGAAAGGCAGTACCTTTTAAATCACTACAGTTGTCCAGATATAGAATGGAGATGAGTTTCTTCATGCAAGCTCTTTTAACATGTTTCAGAAGATGTTTAAAGCCAGAAAATAGATAAGTTGTGCCTTAGTAATGTTGGTAATTTTAAACATATATAGAATTGATAGTTGATTTTGATCATATATCGCTGAGAGGAACTTCCTCCTGAGGGTGCTGGAGATGGATGGATGTATGGATGGATGTATGGATGTATGGATGGATGGATGGATGTATGGATGGATGGATGGATGGATGGATGGATGACTGTTAGAAAATACAATTTGGAGAGACCAATTAACCTGATAGTCAAGGTTTTGGACTGTGGGAGGAAGCTGGAGTCCTCTTAGAGAACCAATGAACTCACAGGGAGAACTTTCAAACTTCATGCAAAAAGACTAAGTACAATTAATTCACTTCTGCTAATTCATACAGATCCAACGTATGTACACAGAAACACATGGCCTGTTTAATCCAATTGTATAGACAGATTCCAAGTCATTCAGAGACATTCAAATTCATTTCCAGTTAAGGTCATGGTGGCTATCATGGTATACTTTGGCACAATGTCAATGTTTGTCTAAATTAAGCAGCAACAAATTGCTGGTTTCTGGGAAATGAAGCACTTACATAAACAAAGCTGTCCTTCGACAGGTCCAGTACCACACCACCCCCCTTCTGGCCTCCCGACATTCCACCAGTTTCGTCACCTTCTCTGTCATCACATGGTCCGATACCCGTCCCCAGCCCCTCTACAAGCCTCTAAAACCTCCTAACATCAGTTTCCATAGCAACCAGAGCTTGTTACGGGAAAATGTAAATGAGGTCTGGAAAATATCCTATCTGGACGAAATGAAATTGTTCCTTCTGGCCTTAATCATCCATGAGGATGATGGTAACCACAGCAGAGGCCCAGTTTAAATCGCTCTGATGACAGACACAAAAGTTGAGATTGAAAAAATATAATATCAAAAATTAAAACCTGACAAAAACAAAATCTCAGCCACTCCATTCCGCTCCAGTTCAACTTTAATTGATACTTTGTGTTTCCCGCCCTGTAAAGGTCTCTTCATGAGCTGATAGACATTGGCAAAGAAGATGTTTCTATAGAAGTGGAGGAGAAGAGGCTTTGTTTCTTTTACAGATGTAAAGGAGACCATATTCCTACATCAAGGGTATTTTACATCCAAAGTTTCGGGTCCCTGTTTGAAATCATTATCCTAAGATAATTGGACCACTGATTGAATATTGGCAAGGTGTGTGACCTGGATGGTTGTGTCAAAACCAGACCTGCTTGGTCTGCTTCACATTACCTAAATAAGTGCAAGGGAAAGTTAATCGCCATAATGGAGATGCATTTAAATGTGAGTCATTTCTGAAGCGATGTAACTGGTAAAAGAACTGGCTTGTACAATGGATAGAAGAGTGGCCCACTTTTGACCACATGAAAGGCCTTCTCTTGATCTTCTTCGGTTTGGTGATCTGTGTCAAGTAGGAGTTGTGTCATTGCCTTCTGCTGTGGACGTGTTTTCTTTCTTGGGCTGCTGATTTCTTTTACTTTTTTTTTTTTTCTTTTCCATTTGTGGCCTAACTAGTAGCACAGGAACATCAAAAGGGAGTGTGAGAAACATCTACTAGTACTACTACTATTTTAGTAGTGTTATCTAGTAAAATAGCGTAGACAACAGGCCCATTAAATGTGGTGTACGTCTGCAACCAGACTCGATGGTAAACTTTGTTAAAAGCTGAAAATGTCTTTGTACTGATCCTGTAAAGTTTGTGAGTGGCAAACGTTTAGGGAAATTCGTGGAGACAGAGCAACTCATTGTCCAACTGGTTCAGTGAGATCTGCAGGCTTACCGAAGGATTTAGAAAATCTAGACATCCAACGTAAAATGTCTCATGTCTGTTTACAATAATGCACCTCGACTTAAACCGATAAGCCTCGTGAACCTGAATCTATCTTGGCTTGTTCCAGCATGTTTCCAAATTTTTAGGAATAAAAATCTAAGGCATGATTTGCATCCAGCCTCTTTTACTCTAACATCCACAAATAAACGTGGCGGAACTGCACATCTGCTGAGCTTCTCATACAAACTACAACGCTCTTAAAAACAGTTGTAAATGGCTTTATAGGAAAAACACTGTAGTAATTGTGTGGTGAAAGGGGAGTGTCAAAAAGGGCAGAAAATACCCAATACACCCCTTTGAAACCAGTCACACAATCATGGAGAGGAAATGGCAAACGTGGAAGAATGTGTGCTCATCAATTGAGAGCAAAAATTGACTTACTGGGTGTTATAGAATACACTATGAGTAAACAGAATCTTAAACTGCATATCAGGCTGAACACATGGTGATGCACTCTTGACATCTGGTCAGAGTTGATGGGAAGATGATGGGTGGCGCAAAGTACAAGAGAATCCTGGAAGAAGACCTGAGTTGAGACTTGGGGCAGAGGCTCCTTCTAGCAGGTTCAGGACCCTAAATATCTTAAACATAACATCCAGACATAATCACAGAACCTGACTGAGCTTTAACAATTTTGCAAAAACAAAACAACAACCAAAAAAAAAAAAAACAACGTGCACAATTTACTTGATATTGCACTGCAGTAAGACGTGGTTCTAAAAATATATCAACTCAGAGGTTTTGATTACTTTTCACTCCACACTATTCAGATTTTTACACATTGTGATGGCCTATCACACGGTTCCTAGAATTGATGGAAGCTGTGGCATGTGAAAGTATTCGAGGGCTGATCAGAGTTTTGCAGGTCACTGTGTGCCTCTTCGCTTACTGTCGGTTCATTGCACATCTTTGCTTCTTTCGTCAACGTGTGCAGGTGAGAAATGTGAAATGTTCAACAGTCCTTCAAAAGTTTCTCAGGCGACGCGTTCCGCCTTCCAACCACCAGATTAAAAAGAAAGAAAGAAAGAACTCATCACCAACGCCGCCACCACCACACCTTTAACACACCCGCTCACACCGACGCGCACGTACGTATACACCACAACTGGAGGTTACACGTGCACGCGCGCGCACACACATTCCAGCGGGCGGAGTCGGTGACGCGCGCAGAGGCCGTTTGTGAATGAGCAGCAGATCGGAGCAGCAGCCCTCAGAGCAAGCTGAGTCCCAGCCAAGCGACGGGAGCAGAGCAGAGCAGAGCAGAGCAGAGAGGGGAAAGAAAAGTTTTTTCCAAATGGATTTCCTCGGTAGAGTCCGACATTTGCTGTTCTCATGTGTGCTCATTAACGGGATATTGGTTACCTTCCAGGCTAAAGAAGGTAAGTGTCCGCCTATAAAACAGATAAGCTTTCAAAATAACATCTATGTTGAGATGAGGGGAAAAAACGCATGCCATGCGGAGAGCCTCCTTGCAAGAACTTTAAAAAAAAAGGAAAAAAAAAAAGCAGGAAACATTTTTCCTTTACTTTTGCAACTGCTTGAAAGTTTCAGAAACTTTGATTGTAACTTCGGAAAACAAACAGCAACAACCGTATAAGTGTTGTTGGGTTCAATTTGTTGCTTCTCTGCAACCTAAGTGAATTGCGACTCAGCTTGTGCGCTCCGATAACTTTGTAACAGCAGCAGGTGGGGAGTTTCTACTGCGGAGTAAACTAAGCTGATATTTTCTTGATCTTGCCTTATTCACCCAAAGTCATCCCTTTTGAATGTATCAGATGTTGCTTTATTTGTCATCTTCCCGCACCTTTTGTAATGAGGTCAAAGTTACTCAGCAACACAGATTTCAAGCAGGCTCAAGTAAAAAAACAAAACGACAACAAAAAAAAAAATAAACAGTTGTAAGTTTTGCAAGTGTTTTCGATAACTGATCTTGATGTTGTGTCTCCACAGAGGTGCTTTTGGATATGAAGGCAACTGGAGGGGAGCTGGGCTGGCTGACTTGGTCCCCAAACCAGGGAGACAGATCTGGGGTGAGTGTGGTGCTCTTTGCTTCTCCTCCACGTTTCCAGCTGTAGGAATTTGCCCGAGGATAGATCAAAACTCGCAGGAAGGGACGACTCACTCAGCTGTACAGAGAACATTTTACGTAATTCTCTTAAAATTGCTCCCTGTATATGTATACGTGTGTGTGTGTGTATGTGTGTGTGTGTGTGTACACATGTGGGTTTTCTATAAAATCTGCCAGTTTAAGCCTTCTTGAGCTGGGATAGACGAGGCAGTGAAGGTACCCTATCAGGAGCTGCCTCCACAGCATGTCTGGGCTGCTCCAAATCACATATAGGCGGATAGAATAGCTGCTCCCTCTGAACTGGGAATACTTGTGGCTTCTTGTGGTTTCGAGGCTCCAGCTTCAGAATTGTATGTTAGAGAGCAATTAAGTTTTAAAGTTTGCAGCATGTGGTACCTCTTTGCCGAGAGGAGGGGCCTCAGATGGAGCGAGTCAAGTCAGGGCTACCTTTTTCCTTACAACAGGGGAAAATGTCTGCATTTAGGGATGAATCTCTAATGCTGCGGTTGTCTCTTTTACCATAAGCGGAGAAGAGACATGTGTTGCCTTCCTCCATCATGTGGTTGCGGAGTAATTGACCGGTCAGGCACATGCAGATTCACTGTAAATAGCCTCATTTCATGTGCTGATGACTCAAGAGCATGTGCAGGCACGCCGCTCAGCGGTTCACTCGACTTTCTCAGAGATGTGTAGCAGCTCGAAAGAAGGTCCCTCTGACACATTAGTTTCACTTTTTTCCCCTCTCTAATACGTTTCAGATGTTTGCTGGATTATTTCGCGTTAGCCTTACGGGCCGGTTGTAATAAAAGGACGGGGATGTGTGTTGGGGGACGGGGGCGGGAATGTTCCACCAGGTTGTTAGCAGAGGTGTACATTCTGCTGTTGTTCATCAAGTTTATATGCAGACCCACACACTTCGCCAGCAAAGCACATTCCTTTAATTAATAGCACAGTGGCTGCATGCAGAGAGCCAACCGCAGCTTCTGCCTCCGTGGGGGCCGTTTGTTTCTCATGAGCCAAGGTTAGAAGTTGCTGTCACTTTTTCTCAAACATATTTGTGGCAACATCCAGTTTTCATGCAGCAATGCTACCCGGGAAGGCTGCCAACAAGTGTGTGAGAGAGACTGAATGGGAAATAATTTTGTCTCTTTGCAATGTCAGAAATGCATTGTCAACCAAAGTCCTTCTTGTCCATGATAGTTTTCGGCTTTGGAGATTTAGAAAATGGATGTCCTTGTCTAAAAAGAAATGCTGTATTGATGTAAAGGTCTGTATTTACCCTCGTGAAGAGCCACGGAGTTCTCTGCACACGCTCTGTTTTTGTTTCCTGCTTCAGATTACAGTGGCCGAACCCTCTTGGTTAAATGGTCGCTCCTTTATTTAGCTATCCCCTTAGTTTTGGTTCAGCCCCACATGGTTAGAAGCAATCCAGCCTGACTACCTCTAACCTTCTTCGGTTTTCGTGGTTCTGTTTCAGTGGGAGGTCACCCAGAGAACCCTGAACGGCTCTCAATTTTACACCTACTCCATATGCAACGTCGAGGAGCGCGAGCAGGACAATTGGCTGCGCACCACCTTCATCCAGAGGCGTCCGTCCGTCTCTCAGGTCTTTGTGGAGCTTCAGTTCATTGTGCGTGACTGCAACTCATTCGATGGAGCCTCGTTGACCTGCAAGGAGACCTTCAACCTGTATTCGAGCGATGCGGACGCAGACGTAGGCACGGCCTTCCGTAAAGGTCAGTTCAGGAAGGTTGCCACCGTCGCTCCAGATGAGATAACGAAGAAAAATGGCATACGCATCAACACGGAAACAAAAGTTGTGCAAAGCTTGTCCCAGAAGGGTTTCTACTTGGCCTTCCAAGACATCGGAGCCTGCATCGCTCTCCTCTCTGTCAGGGTGTACTACAAGACTTGCCCGGCCACAACAAAGAGCCTCGCTTCGTTCCCTGAGACGGTAGCTGGAGGTCTCAACCAGCAGCTCAAGAAGGTCTCTGGGAAGTGTGTGGACAATGCTTACAGCGAGGACTTGCCCCACATCTACTGCACTGCGGAGGGAGAGTGGGTGGTTCCAGTCGGACAGTGCCAATGCGATGCTGGGTTTGAAGAGGTTGAAGACGCCTGTCAAGGTAAGCCAGTGGCCTTGAAGCGTCTCATGTGGAAACGTTTTAAATCACCTCCAGTTTTGTTGCTTTTGTTCCCATAGACACAGACAACTGGTGATCTTTTGGATCAATAGTTCTCCAGGCTTTTTAAAAGTATTTTAAATTTTTCCTGAGGGCTTTCTTGCTTTTTTTTTGTTATCTCTGACCAAACGTCCTTGTGCAGTGGACAGTGGAGGATAAAAGAAGTGCCATGTCTGAAAAATATTTCTACTACATTCTGAAAGTGTCTGTAACACTGTGCTATCTTTGGTAATTCTTGTCAAATTGAACTGAAAAAAAAGAAAAAAAAACTGAAACAAACTGTGTCATCGGCACAAACATTTACTTTGTTTTTGAATAGACATAGAAAATATAACATTTCCTTCCACATACAGTGTGAGTGTGTGGTTAAAAAGTTTATAGAGGTGCTTAAAGGGTAGTGAGGTTGATCAGAAAGGTTAACAAAGCCTGACTTTCAGTTTAAGGCCAAATTTGGATGGAACAACTAAAAATGTCCAATGTCCATGTATTTCTCTGGGTTCAATAAAGACGACCTAAAATTAAGACAAGTCCATGGACATCCGGTATTTAGAAGGTTTGTAACAAAGTTGCTTATTTAAACACCTGATTTCTCTGCTAAACCATCTGCTGTTTTTTAAGCTTAGGAGCTTTTTATGGTGAAACAATTCATACATCACAACCAAGTTGCAAAAGACGTTTTCTTTAAAAACTGTCTGGCATTGGACTTGAAATGACTTAAGAAAAAAAATCCAAGTACAAAGTACAACTCTGAAATACGTAAGAAAAGCTCCAGTAACTATTCATCAAGATCATCAGGAAAGATTATAAGACAGCACGGCTCCTTTGTAGGAAATATTTCACCAGAGGAAGAATGACTCAGGACTTTGATCTGTACTGTAACGCTATCTTGTCCTGGCAAATTCGATGCAATTCCATTTTACTGTGGTTTTTTTTAAACGCTCAATTTATCTTTGCTTTAATTACCTGGGGTTATAAAACATACCTGTATGACAAATATTTATCATGGGTGCTATTATCATATCTCAGTGGAATTCTGCTCTCGGCTAACACCAGCTCCCCCCGCAGTGGGAGGAATGCCAAGCCCTTCTTCAACATGTCCTGGCGCAATCCCTGACCCGAAACTGATACGAGTAGGAAATGTGCATTTACCTTTTGGCTTTGGCTCCAATTAGCTGTTCTCTCTTAACGGCTTGCAGAAGCAAATTGTAACTGTTGGCCTTTGGTGTTACAACGGACGCTGGACAGCATGAAGCGTGGACCTAAATTTTGGCCTCACCTGCATCGTCCAATCGCTGCGTCGTGCGCTTCGACTGCGGTCTGTTAGCGTCAGATCGCTCCTCGTCGTGGCCGATCATTGAGGCGGCCTCCATCTTTAACGGCTCCTTCTGCTCTCCAGCCGAGCTTCAGCCCGTCTCCCTCCCTTGTTCTTCCGGCTCCTTCAGGCTTCCTTCCTCCCATTCGAGCGTCAAAAACCTTAATTCGTTCGTGTCAAATTAAACCTTCTAATTGCGACTTTTTCGCTGTGTGTGTCTCTCCAGGTTGAAATGACGTAAAGTTGGAGGGGACAGGAAAAGGAAATTACGATTAATTATTGTTGATACAATATTATTAGAAAACGTTTTTGTTCTGTCTTATTTTTTGACCAACAGTTAAGGCAATAAATGTTCTTATATCTGGCAGATTTGGAACTAATTTCCATTCAGCCAAGAAGTTTCTTTTATGTGGAAAATGAGAGAGGCATCATGTTAACTATCACAATGTAAAGAAAACAGTTCTTTTGTTGAAATTAAAATAAATAAATTCAAAAATGTATCACCCCCATAATAAACCCTGGAAAATTGTTTTTTAGTCAAATCCCTTTTATAATTGCTGACCAGCTTTCCACTGGAACCGTTAATTTTGGACTTTACTGTATTTGGCATTATTTGTTCTATCTGCATTTAAGCAAAACATTTTTCAGTGTAATTCCTATATACAATTTATTCCTAAATATTAGTTTGTTTAGGCAAATGTCTTAGAGCTTGTGCTTTAGGGGTGCACTGATTTTAATCGGCACAGATTTTCAGTGATTGGCCGATACCTGCGTCTTATCCACCGATCTTATCTACCTCGGCAAAGGTCTGAAAATCAACAATTGTCCTCCTCTGCTCTCCGTGAGAGAGATTTGAATGAGAGACCGACTCATGAGGTCATGTCTGCACGTTTGCAGTTAGCAACAGTCGCACCACTGTTACCAACTCCACGGCTTTCTTGCTATATTTAGCAACATTTCAGACATAAAAAAAGAAAAAAAAAATTGGTATCGGCCAAAATCGGAATCGGCAGGTCAGGCTCGGTAATCGCTGAAGAGCCAGAAAACCGCAATCGGAGCATCTCTGTTTTTAACAAAAATATTCAATTTGCTTTCAAATTACCTGACACAAACAAAACTCAATATTTTATGTGAACACAAAAAAGGCCCGTAGAGTTTTACTTTACTCAGCAGCGTCTTGCTCTGCTCATCTGTTACATATCCTGAACCCTGGTAAATGAGTGTCTTAGTCTTTGACATCTCTTGGTGCATAATTTAGAGCTTATTGCATCAGGTGATTTCCTGTTCTCCCGGTATCGTCTGCTCTCTTATCTCGACATGAGCTGGCTTTGGCAGAGCAGCCATAACTCAGGCCTTTGACTTTGTTCTGTTGTCACAGTTTGCGCTTTACTGACTGTAAAGGAGACCTTTATTGTAGCGAGGGAATACGGCTGATCAAAGCAAGGGAGTGGGGGCTACTGTACAGTGATGGATTAGCATCTTCAAGGCGGATGGGAGGAAAAAGAGGGAGGAGGCCTGGTGAAGCTGCCGAGCCTCACTGACTGCTCATAACACGCAGACCCAATCTGAGCCCCTATCCTGCCGGCTGCAACTATCTCTTTATCCCCCAACCCACCGTTACTCCCCCTTTGTTTTCTCAAATGCACCGGAGCTGCAGCTTTTGGTGTGTGTGTGTGTGTGTGTGTGTATGTGTGTGTGTGTCAGAGAGAGAGAGCGGCGTGTGAGGGCCTGTTGAGATCTGCTCCGCGACAAAGCACACAAAGCCATGCCGTCAACCCCATGCGATGTTCCTCCTTCAGTCTGCTCTGTTTACGCCACACACACTTGCACGACTTGAAAACAGAAATATCTTTTAATCATCGTCTTAGAAAATAAATGTGCAAGCGCACGTTTGGACAGCGGGTATAAAAACGTCCCTGCTGACATGTCCGCTCTCCTACTTAGATTTAAGCTGGATAGGAAAGCTGAGGTTTTCTGCAGTGGGTCATTTTTTTTTTTTTTGGAGCTGCGGAAGAAAAGCCAGGTGAGATGATTAGGGAGGATGGCAGGAAGGAATGAGAGGGAGAAAAAAAAGTGAGGGCTTGTGTTTAGAGGAGGGGTGTGATGTTTTTTTTTTTTTAAGCGGAGAGAGGTGAGGAGCGGAATGCAAAGGTAGGAGAACAATGAAGTGCTGTGTTTCCCCGCGAGGCCGACAGATTCCACCTTCTCTCCCCCACTTTACTGGTACATTCCTGATCAGTTTGCTGAGACGGAGCCTCCCAACATTACTCCAGACCTGTGGAATTCCCAGTGAACGCTGGCGATGATGGGAGGAGCGGGGATGGTGGGTGGTGGGGAGGTGAGGGAGAACAGGTCCGGGTCAAGCCCTCACATTAAAACGACTAAACAAACAGAATCCCTCCAACCCCACAAAAAAAAAAAAAAAAAAAAAAA